CCTTCACTAAATACCACGTGGCCTAAGAATGCCACTGACTGCAACCAGAATTCACATTTTGAAAACTTGGCATACAACTCATTTTCCTTCAATGTCTGCAAGGATATCTTGAGGTGCTCTGCATGCTCTTCCCTGCCTTTAGAGTATACCAGAATATTGTCTATAAACACAATAATAAATGTATCAAGGAATGGCTAGAAAACTCTATTCATGAGGTCCATGAATGCAGTTGGAGCACTTGTCAACCCAAAGGACATTACTAGAAATTTATAGTGCCTGTAGTGAGTTCTAAAGGCTACAACAACAACAACATAGCTAGTATTATCCCACACCGTAGGGTCTAGGGAGGGTAGTGTGTATGCAGACCTTACCCCTACCTTGTGAGGTTAGAGAGGATGTTTCCAATAGACCTTCTAAAGTTTTTTTTAGATATATCCTCTTCTTTGATTCTCAACTGATGGTACCCCAACCTTAAGTCTATCTTTGAAAAATATTTTGCACCCAGAAGTTGATCAAATAAATCATGAATTATTGGCAGTGGTTACTTGTTCTTAATGGTAAATTTATTCAACTGCCGATAGTAGACGCACATTCTGAGAGACCCATCTTTCTTCATGACAAACAGGACCGGGGCACCCCACGGTGAAACACTCGGCCTGATGAAGCCCTTGTCAAGAAGGTCTTTTAACTGTTCCCTCAAATTATTAAGTTCTTATGGAGCCATCATATAAGGAGGTATAGATATAGGCTTAGTGCCTGGTATGAGATCGATGCCAAAGCTATGATTCTTTCAGGAGGAAGTCCGGGAAGGTCGTCTTGGAAAACTTCTGGAAATTCTCTAACAACTGGCATAGACTGAAGAGCTGGTGATTCTGATTCTGTATTAATGATATGAGAAAAATAGGCGAGACACCCCTTACCGATCATTCGTTGTGCCTTAAGGTAAAAACAAACTTACCTACAAACGATGTTGAACTACCTTTCTGCTCTAAGACTTCTTCATTTGGAAATTGGAACCTGACTATCTTCGCACGACAATCTAACATGCATAGTAGGAAGACAACCAATCCATATCCATGATCATATAGAAATCCACCATTTCTAACTCTATGAGATCGGCCTCGGTGTTGCGACCTTGGACTGATACTATACAACCTCTATAGACTCTTGTGGCTTTCACTGACTCGCCAACTGGAGTAGATACTAGGAATGGCTCACTAAGATGTTCAGGTTCTCTCCCGAGGTTAATTGCAAAGTATGGAGTCATGTACTAAAATGTTGAACCTGGATCAATTGGCATAAACATTATGCGAGCAGACTAGAAGTATACTTGTAATAACTTCTGCAGACGCCTCTACACTCTGACGATCAAGTGTAGCAAACAAACGGGGTTGTCCCCCTCCCTGAGTAACTCGATTTGCGCCTCTGTCTGCTCCATGCCCAGTTTGATTATGAGAACCACGAGCCTGAGGTGGTGCAACTGTAGTAGATGAGGAACTAGAAGGACGAGCTGATCCCCCACTGAAATTACGTTGCAACTTTGGGTAGTTTGCCTTTATATGACCACTGTCTCTGCAATGATAGCAACCGTGAAACCCGAGCTTGCATTGACCTGAATGTTGCCGCTTACATGTACCACAAAGATGAGGATGGTGTCCTAAAATTCTGATTCTAGCGAGATTGGTTTCCATAACTTTGAGTACGTTTGAAGGAAGACCTACCACCTGACTGATGACTGGAGTGAGCTGGTGCTAATGACCTCTTATTGAAGGAACCCCTTCCTCCTCTACTGGATGTACTACTAAAATCGCCCGATGTCCGGGCATTCTTGTTATGCTCTTTTTCTTCTCTCCTTTATTGTCTGTCTTTTTCTAAGTGCTTGGTGAAACCCACAACAGAGGAGAAAGTTGTCATTCCTACCGCTGCAGCTGATGTCGTATCCTTAATGTGGTGAGCTAAACCGCCAACAAACCGGCGGATCTTTTCTTTTTCTGTCTTAACCATGTGAGGAGTATGCTTAGCCAAACTTATGAATTCCATATAATACTCTTGCACACTTGTATTCCCTTTCTTGAGTTGCTCAAACTCTGTAACCTTAGCTTCCCTATCCTCTTCTGGTATAAAATTAGCCATGAAAGCCTCTTCAAATTCTTCCTAAGTAGGCGGACCATCATCTTCATCTCTTTCCTTTTCCCACATCTCAAACCAAGTACTAGCCACATCTCTAAGCTGGTAGGCAGCCAGCTCCACAGCTTCATCATCAAATGCCTTCATCGCTCGGAGGGCTTTCTTGAACCCTCCCGCCACAACATTGGATCTTTATCAACTATAGTACCACGGGACAATGGAGGACTTAGATTCAGAAATTCATTCACTCTTGAGGACTTAAAATTGGTCTGTCTATTTGATTGAGGTGGAATTCAGCTCTTCTCTCGTTCTGGTTGGCCATGAAGGCTTTAAACATCTACATGGCACTGTTGACAACATTAAACATCTGACCCACCTCTAGAGATATAGTTGTTTGAGCCAGAACTGTTGTTGGGGGTGGAACTGGATCCTAAGGTACTTTGTCATCATGCTCCACCCCTTCTTCATGTTCAACCTGGGGTACTTGAACCCCCTATGTGGATTTACCCTTCCTTTTGTGAGTTGAAGCCTTCTTAGTTCTACCTTGACCCACAATAGTAGCAATAGTTTCTTGAGCAACATCCTGAGTGTCGGTGTCAGAGTTGCAAGTACAATCCATTTCTGCGATTTTTGTAGAAGCGAATACATTAGATAATTTCTTAGAGGTAGGCTCTACTGCACGATCTAAAGTTTGATAAAGAACGAGACTTTTCCTAAATGCGTGTAGCCTCCTACATATATGTATGGCGTGCTTCATACCCATAAATAAGACTCTACTGACACGGCTTCATAGATCCCTAGGACTCCATAAACCTGATGCTCTGATACCAAGTTTGTCACGACCCATTTTCTTGAACAAGCTGTGACCGGCACCCGATCACTAAACCTGACCGAGCGAACCATCTGCGCTTATCAAATCTATTATAACTTCAAACTTTATATGCAACAAGGTAATACTTTAACCAAATACTTTTAATTAATTTGAATGTCTAAAATAGCCAACTCCAAAACTTTGTTCATAGTAACTACTGAAATACTGCTAAGTTATTATCAAAAATATTGGAATCTTAACCCACCGGCTATGTCTATGAAGCCTCTCCTGATAAACTGACACACTAATCAGGACATGAGATTTCCTGACTAGTTCTCTACATAAACAAAGAAATAGCTAAATAATGACTACTCAAAGGTGTACTCCATGAACAAAAGCGGAGCTCACCAATAGCACTGGAAGTGAGGGAAGTCCTAACCAATAGCATGCTCGCCTGCTAAACCGGTTCCTACGTTGTACCGTAGACCAACGTAGCTTCCCAAAAGAGAATGTCAGTACCATCCACTGCACTCAGTGAGTCTCAACGACAGGGAACAAAACTTTAATAAACTATACATTATAAGCAAAGATTCTAAATACATGGAAAACATAAAGCATCTAAGAACAATTCTAAAATAATTTCATAACAGCAGTTTATGAATATTCTAAAAGAAATTCTTTTCTTTTTCTTTCTTATGTAAAAAAATACATCACTTTATGCTTCGGGAGTTCCAACTATTCTGACTTATTTCTGTCTTAGTCACCATTTGATCGGCACGGGTTCGATCCCAACCTGATCGAATAGGCCCAATCAACGAGGTGCCACTCGCTCCATGGTTCTCAGTGCTCATGTATCATACCTTAGCCTGGCTACGTAATTCTCAAGAATGAGACCCTCGGCTTATGTGCTCCCTACTTTGGCACAAGTAGTTTCAGAAAGTCAACACCTTGATTAGGACCCTCGGCCTGGACGATGGCCCCTTCTCAGAATAGAAGATACTCCCAAGAATACTTTAATAATAAATTGTTCTGTGTGACCCTGCTAGGATCTAAACTAACTTTCTTGACCATTCAAGTCTAAATCTTTTCTGAAACAACCTATACATACTAATACTGGTATCCTTAAATTTAAAGCATGTCAAAAGCATGAAATAAACATTCAAAAGTAATTCTAAATATTCTTGCTTCTTCATGAATTTTCAACATGAAAATGGCATATAAGAATAACACAAATATCTGAAAATTTATGCACGTATATTATAATAAATCATCTAAATTTAGCTAGAATAATTCTAAGTTAATAGGTACTCACTCGCTCCAATTAAGTACATATTAACTCTTTTAAGCAATTCATCAAACACCTTGTATGTGTGCTTTTGTGAGTAAATCACTTTAGTAAAGGGTTATATAAACTCACCTCAAAACTCCTCTAGCCAATACGTAGGCCCGAGTCCAAGTTACACCCATCAAAAAATCGATTCTACAACAACCAATGCATTTTAATTAATTTCAAAGTTTAACAACTAAACATGAAACTTACTGTTGATATAGAGAAAGAAGGGAATTAACAATTCAATTCTTACTTACTACTAGGATAAATTATAATAGAAAATTATATATACCTGAGTTCAAGAACTGGTGATTTGTAAAGAAACCCAAAACTTTCCGTTGCCTGCGTGAGTAAGTAGCAAGGTTGCCTCCATTTCATGGTTGCCTATATTTCGTAGTTCTTTTTTTCGTATAAGGCTTTTTTAGCCTTCTGCCTTTGCGTGAATGAATAGAACGTTAATTTTGTTTTGTTTTAAGGCTTTAAGCCTTTTACCTTTCCACTTTATAGGCTTTAGGCTTGTCCCTTTTTTTAAAAAAAAAAATAAATAATAATTAATGATACTCATTTTTAATAATTAGTATTATTAAAATTATTAATATTCATTTGCTTGTATATCATATATTATTTATAAATTGAGAAGTAACTCAAAAGTCAATCATAAGGTTTAAATCCGTAATAGAAGTAAAAACTTTATGCACTCAAGGCAAGATTAAAAATAAATAAATTCTATATTTAGCGAGTCTTGAAACCTTTATAGATTTGAGGAGTGTTACTTAGAGCACTAAGCAATTCGCTTGACTGCTCTTTGAACTCTATCTCCAGGCGTTCATGCATGAGGAAGACCTTTGTCTTTGGCATCCCTAGTTTTTCTACCATGTTCTCCAGGTCCACATTGGACTCTCTGAGATAATCCAATGCCATGTTGGTGCCCCTGCTCAGCAGGTCTATTGGTGAGAGTGGTTGGGGTGGTGGCTGGGGAATTTGGACTATTGGTGGATAGAGTTGGAAGGATGTGTAACACCCTGAAAAATTTCAAAGTATTTTAAGACCATTAAGAAGATTGACGGGTGCTAATTATCGTAATTCGGGCATCAACAGGACTAATAATATGAAGGATATCAATTGATCATAATAATATATGCATTAGATGCATTAATAATGATTTATGGTATAAAAAGAGCCCTAAGGCTAAGTCAAGTTGGAAACTATATGATGGGGTAAAGTTTCAAGTGAGTTCACACAAGGCCTAACTTCAAACGAGCATAAATCTCAAGATATAAGATGTTATATGGTGTATTACTATAAAATAAAAGGTCTATGTGTCTGGTTCCTAATGCTTCAAACTGTTCGTCATTTGAAGGTTTCGACAGGGAGTTATGACCTTTTCACTAAATAGTAGCAGAACAGCTACGCGAGTCATGCGTAGCCTACGCAGCATAGTAGCATAGCCTACGCACCATGTGTAGTCAAATCCAGCAGCTTCCAATTGAAGAGGAATGGAAGTCCACCCCGCGCCTTTGTGCGTAGCCTACACACGGAGGCTACACAGCTTCAAGGGTCATTTTATGGGGCTAAAAATGTGGGTTTAGAGAGAGAATGTGTTAATTCTTCAACTTGGAATTATTTCTAGAGAGAAGGAGGAGCTCTTCTACCAGGATAGACTTCAAGGTAAGTTATTTTGGTACAAGGATGATTATATAACATCATTTAGTGATAACACTAACATTATTATGGATCAAATCCATAGTAAATGGGTTGAATATTCAAGAACACCAAAAAGAGGAAAAGTGAGATTCTTCCACCAAGAGGTAATCCCTTCGCTTGAGCTTTATATATATATATATATATATATATATATATATATATATATATATATATATATATATATATATATATATAGGTAGCATATTTATGAGTTTTATTTGAAGTTGTAATGGGATATTGTATGAACCCTAAGGGTGGGTCTTGAGAATGCCATTTTGGGTAAAGACGAAGATGAATAGTGATGAATTGATATAAATACTTATGTATTTAGTTTATAATGATTTTAATAGACTTGATAACTTAATTGATGAATAAATTGAATCAAGAATCACCATCTGGATAAGATACAACACTAGTTCTTGAAATGGGTGTTCTTGAACCTAGGGTTTTGTTGGAGAAGATGATGAATAGTGACTTGATGATATTGGAAAATTAACGTAGTATTATTAATGACTCCAAATGAGTATTAAATCATAAGAATGGAATTGAATAGGCTAATGGGTGATCCTATTGGACAATTTGGGATGGTTGAAGGCTTGTTGCCGAATTGTGAAGCCTAAATGGATATTTATGAATCTTTTCGTATTTTTTTTTTGATGTAGTTGGGATGTCTAATGGTAGATACTGAATTATAGGCGATATTTGGGCATTTTAATAAATTGAAGCACTGTAGTATTTTTGGAGCTTGAAGGTTGAGGTAAGTTGATTAAGACTTACTCTTCTTGAGGGGTTCTCTTTAAAAGCATGTCTTAAGTTGATAAATTATATTATTTGTAAATGTGCATCCGTACTTGTGGGAACAAGCGGGAAAGATGTCACCATGTGTATCTAAATTATTGCTTATGAAGTGTCATGTAATTTTATAAAAAATTTGTTTTCAAAACTTGTTGGCAAAATGACACTTAAGGAAATTCTTATAAGTTTTATTAAAAATTATTTGTTCATAAGAATATAAAATGCTTGAGTGCCACATATATGTTTTCGTGAAAATATTTATCTTTTGAAGTTTCAACAATGGAAGCACTTGTTATATCTTTAGATTGATGTTAATTTCTAAAGGCTATAACATGAAAAAGGTTATTCATTTGATTTTGTTCAAATGGATTGGATTGGCTATGAAAATCATGATTTCATAATTATAGATCCTTTGAGGCAATTATGCTATGAATCTATTTTTGATATGTCAAATATTTTGGGAGTTACTAGTGAATACCACCGAGATTAGTTTGAATGTTGAGTTCATTACCATAAAACTACACATGCCGGTATAGGGACACATTCCAAGGGAAAGCCGAGATTTGTAGAATAACGTCCCCTATTGAGAGGGCAAATAATCATTACCTAAAGTAATGAGGTTAAGTCGAATCGTACGGCACTACGGGAAGCCGCCCAGACAAGTAGGGTCAAATACTTGTTACTAGGATGATCTCCTAGTAGTTGTTCATTATATCGGTGTTGGTGTAGTACTCCCGGTGAAAGGTCAAAGAAAACTTTCTTATGTTTAGGCCTAAGGAGCCAAAAATGATTTCAACAACTTAACGAGATTGACATGGTTTTATATGATTGACGTAATGAGACTGAAATGGTTTTATATGATTTCTATTAAAATATTAGGTTGATAGAGATGTTCTAAAACTTTATACCATGGCTTACATTTCACTTGTCGTTTATTTAAAATGATAAAGAGCATGATTTATATAACATTTTATCACTTTATGTCCAATTTTGGTTGCATAAGTTTTGTAAAATCTTGTCTCACGAACTTGAGTTAGAGAGAGTCTATGATACTTATTGGGTACCACTGTGGTGTACTCAGCCCTTAGGAGTCCCCTCCAGGGCCCCACTTACTTTACATGTTTCAGGATGAGGTATGGTATGTGGCATATGGACAGGGCTAGGATAACTCTCTTCCTGAGGTATATGGCGAGGCACCACTCCTATTTTGTGGTAGCTATCATTTTATTTTCTTAATTTATGTTAGTTGGGCATTAACTCAAGTGTTTAGTTCTATTCCTTGGTATAGAGGCTCCATAGATAGTTGTAAAAAGTTATAGTAATGGGGCTGTACGCATCATACATGAAAAGATATTTATTTTACTTAGTCTCATTGTTATGATTATGAGAGGCTTCATTTATGATTTTGAATTGAAAAATTGTTCCATGTTTTAACTTGAAAATATATAAAATTTCAAAGAGCTTCCGCAGTTAAATTGGTTTTCATGCATATGGTACGGGTGTATCATATGGGTTGGTTCGCCCGGGTCAGATAGTGTGCCGGGTGCTGGTCACGTGGATTTGGGTCGTGACAGGATGGAGATGGGACTGGAGTCTCCAGGTTTATGAGGGGGAAGAAATGCATGGTCCGGCAAAGCTGGCCCATGAATGTGTTGAGTTCCTCCATAGACAGGGGTTGTTGGACCCCATGTACTAGGCTTGGAATAATGTAGACATTCATAGCTGATATCCAAAGTTTTCCAGACCCTAGTGGAGGAGCTGGGTCGCCAGTCGAGCTAAGTATCTAGGATTTTGGATGGTTATCTCCATCGAGACAGACTTACTGTCACGACCCAAATTCCATTATAGGTCGTGATAGCGCCCAACACCGCTGTCAGGCCAGCCAACACTAATCAACTAGTGAGTTCTCATTTATTTATGTTATTAAACAATCCCAAGATTTACTTAACTTAAATTTAAAACAGTCGATAAATAACGAATTTATAAAGCAACTGAAACGGGAATGACTAAAGGAAATCATAATTAGAGGAATACAACCCAAAAATAAATGTCTACTAATGTATGTGCTAGGATCTAGTGTCACAAGTACGAGGGCAACTAGTAGAATGTACAAAAATATAACTATCCTACTGCCTGAAATAGAATAGATGGTAATAACAAAAGGAGAGACTCCGGCATGCTGCTGAACGGCTCAGAAGGGGGCAGCTCACCGGGAAATCTCGATCAAGTATCAGGAATGCGCGACGGACGGGTAGCTAGATGCACCTGCCTCAAATCCTGTATAATTAAGTACAGAAGCGTAGTATGAGTACATAAACATTATGTACCCAGTAAGTATCTAGTCTAACCTCGAAGAAGTAGTGACGAGGGGTCGACTTGACACTCACTAGGGCCAATAATAATATAATTTAAGTGTTACGCTAAGCATGAATAACATGAATAATAATGACAGTTTAAGAACAGGGAGAAGTAAGACATTCTTTCATAAACAACATGTCAATTTCAGTCATATCATGTAACAACTTACGTTTCAAAGCATTTAAGCAGTATAAATCACGGGAAGTTCCAAATAAATAACATGCGCAGATTATGCCGAGGTCGTACGACCCAGTCCATAATATTAAACTATGCACTGCCAGAGGGTCGAATAGCGCGAACAATAGATGCATCTGTTTACTTCTGAGGCGCTCGGCCCGATCCACAAATAACAATTTATTTTCAAGAAATCACACATTGCCCATTTACAGTCAAGTAATTCATACAAATTCTTAAGTAAGTGAGTATAACTGTCTATATTTGATTTACCAATTTCCAGCATGACTTAAGTGACTATAGTATCAACTAAGGACGCAAGCATTTCAAGTATAGCATGATACGATCCTAAACTACCCAGACAATTAGCATAATAGTAGCTACGTACGGACTCTCGTCACCACGTACGTACGTAGCCCCCACAGATAGGTACATACATTTATTTAATTCACCTATGGGGTTAATTCTCTCTTACAAGGTTAGAAAAGAGACTTACCTTGCCCCAAAGCTTACTTCCAAACTCAAGAATGCACTCAAACCCTCAAATTGGAGTCGAACGATCCAAAACTAATAAAATGGGATAAGAACTAGTCAATATATGCTCAAGAGTTCATATTCTAACTATTAAAGTAATTCCCCAACCCTAAATGCAAGGTTCCTAAAATTCATCCCCGGGCCCACGTTCCCGGATCTCGGAAATTTTCAGAGAGAGTTGTTACCCATAACCTTAGGATCAAGAATATATGATTTCTACTACATTCCATAACAAATTTCGTGGTTAAATCTCATTTTTATAAAAAAACCCTAGGTTTTACTCTAAACCAATAATTTTCACTAATTTACATGTTGTAATCCACCCATAAACTATGTATTAAACTCACATTAAGTAGAAATTACGTACCCCGCAAAGCTAGGTTGAAATATCCCCTTTTGAGGCTCCCAAATCGCCCAAGAATGGAGTGAAATGAGTCAAAAATGACAAACTCCCGTA